TGGAGCATAAAGGGTTAAAATATTTTTAAAAAAAATTACCAAAGGGCAGCCATTTTTATATACAGTGAATATTTATTTAAATAAGAGAATAGTGGATGATACTCACAAAATTACAATGAATTAAAATAAAAATAGTAATATATGATGCAAATTGTTTTTATTAATATTTTACAAAATGGATGTAAACTGTCCTTTAATACATTTCTATGTTTTTCCCAGAGCGATATCTTCACTTGTTTCTTCAGTGAACTAATAATAAACGTATAAGAAAATACAAAAATACAACATCAAAGAAATAAAAAAGAATTTTATGAAATATATGAATAAAATCTGGGTCCGGCACGATGTTAAAATGCGTAAGTTTATGTACCTATTTCTCCGAAACTTCTTACTTCTCATGAATAAAATTTTACGAGTTTTTGATACATCGAAAAACTTTAACGAAAGGTTTTATCTTTTTTTAAAAATTAAATTAATTGAATTTTTTTTAAAAATGTCCAATTTTTTTCCCCAAAAATTTTGTTTAAAAAGTCATATTTTTATAAAAGAGGTAGATATATCAAATACCCCCCATTAAAATTTTAAAAAAAGTTAAAAAAATTTTCTCACGAAAATTTGAAGATTATATGATTAGTAGTTTTTTTAGAAAAAAAAAAAAAAGAGGTAAAATATTTCATTTTGAGAAAAAAGGTTTTTTTAAAAAATTTTAATTTTTGAGCATTTTCTTTTTTGTACTTTCCCGAAATATATGAAGCCTTTTTTTTTTCTGATCATACTAAAGACCCCCAGTTTTTTTTTCATTATTTTTACAATTTTTCCCTTTTGATCAAAAAGCTGTTTACCGACCTACATGTATCTAATTTTTTAAACGACAAACGTTACCACTTGGTTCATATAAAAGTTTTAACATCATTAATTATTACATGGTCTTTTTGAAATGTGCAACTTTTTATTTTCCCCCAATTTTGAGTTTTAATTTACAAAAAGGATTTAAAACACTGACCACATATGGATTTTTCCTCCATTTATTCAGAGCCACGTAAACATTTTTTTAAAAACTTAGGGTCATCTGATCCTAGAAATTGACTTTTTTAATTTATTATGGTTTCACATTTTTACGTGTTTATGGTCATAGTGCCTTACTTCTTTCAGCTTCTGTCTTTTGAAATTTGCTCCCGGATTTTCACCGGCAAAAATTTACGTTAAGGCTCCGTTTGAATGCAGAAGATGAATATAACAGCCCAAACAGCAGTTTTCATGCTTTTGGGGTCTCATTGATATTTTTTTAATACCCAAACTATAATATCTTTGAATTTTTGATTTTAAAAATGCTGATTTCGTTACGACCACAGGTTTTTTTCATCTTTTTAATTCCCCTTTTCGCTTTTAAAATCCAAAAGACGTGTACCCACCCCCTTATGGACAAGCCAAATAACTTTTTTTTTTCCACTTGAATATCATATGGATCCCCTCATCAGAAACTTATGAAAGGGGAAACACGGGTTTTTAAGGGCTCGTTTGATGGCGTCTGGGAATAGCTTTTTAAAAAAAATCTCTAAAAATTTGTATTTCAGTATATCAATCTCATTTTAAACAGAAACATTTGAATTTTTTAAAAAAAAAAAAAGGAAAATTTTGGGAAAATCCAGAAAGACCCCTCCCCCCCTTTTTAAAAGAAAAATTTCCCCCCCCAAATTTTTTTTTTCACTAGACGAAATAAATATTATTCCAATTGCTTAGAATATATTGTTGCATAGACGAAAATTAAATAAAAGTGCAATGAATATAAATTCATACCTTCTGTAGTCGTATTGTCCCCAGTGGCGTACCTAGACTACTTTTATAAAGGGGGGTTTACTTTTTTAAAAAACACGTAAAGAAGTAAAAGGTAATCTTTGTGCTTGAAATTAAAAATCTCTTGGCGTATGGGAGGGTTTTCCAAGCCCCTTTTTCTAGCAGGTTCCCCACTTCAAAACAAACCCCCGGTTTAAAATTTTTATTTTAGAAATTTGTTGGAACCGTGAAAAGAAAAAAGGGGAATTTTAATTTTTTCACTTTTGAAAAACATGTATAAATGTTTAAGGAATTTGAAAAAAAAATTTTTAATAAATTTTTTGGAAAAAATTTAGAAAAATTTTTTTTCACGTTTTTTGGTGTTTTTTATTAATGTTTTGCCGTATAGCCCCGGAACTTCTCAGAGCTCCCAGAATTTTAAAAATATATAACTTAGGGGGGTTTACCTATTTTACGACAACAAGGGGGGCAATTTTAAAAAAAACCCCCATAATTATTTCAAAGGTGGTAACTCTGAAAAAAATCGGAATTTTCAAAAATTTTCTGAGCCTCTGTAGAGAAGTCTGAGCTATATACAGGCAAAACATTAAAATAATAGAAGCATTTTTCACTAAAAGAAAAATTTAAAAAATTTTTCTAAGTTAATTTTTTCCAAAAATTTATTTAAAAAAACCAAAAACCTTTAAAACTTTTATACGTGTATTCAATCTAAGTGACACAAATAATGAAAAATCCCTTTTGCCTTTTTAAAACACGGTTCCGCTATCGGGGACCTTTCAATTTTCCGAACCAATCAAAAAAACATATCGGGCGAGATGGCTGAATCCCGCCTCAGCATTTTATTTGCACAAGAGCTGACGTGAATTTCTTTTTATATAATTCACTACGCTTCCTTTGCATTTCCGTAGTCTCAGCAGCATTTAAGATTTTTTTTGGCTCAGAAACAAAATGTTTGAAATATTGTTACAAAATTTTATCTTTATAAATATTCATGGATGTGCTAGGGAGCGGTGGATTAAGGTGATTAGCTTCGTGGATTGTTACATGGTTACGTATCTGTACGAGTTGAGTAATGGTTTGATGCCTGATTTTAACAAGAGTGAAGTGTTGTCACAAGACATATCGCCCTGCCCTCCAGTGAGTGAGTGTTTATTAACGTCCAACTATAAAGCGACGGTGAGGACTATTAGCGACTGACCTCATAGTTTTGAACTATGGTCAAAAGATGAGGACGAGACCTGCGTCTTCGAACTACCATACCACACAAGGGGGACTTCGCGCCTGCTCCCGGCTTAACGTACATCAGCCCCTCTCCACGGAGGGTCTTCAGTGGCACTTGAGCTCAGGTGAGTGAATATTAACGTCGCACTGTTCAGCTACATGAGGGCTTTTGGCGACGGACTTCGTAATTTGGAACCATGGTCAAATGACGTGGACGACACCTGAGCTGGCATCCCCTCTCCTAACTACCACACTACACCAACGGGAGGACGTTTCAGCTCTCAACAGATTTAGCGTGCATCGCTGCCCTACACGGCGGGTCTTTAGTGGTACTGGGCTCGAATTCGTGACAAAGCCAGCCACGATCCGATACCTATACCACTCGGCTACCGCGGCCACGCACTTGAGCTCAAACTCATGACACTCTGGGTTCTTTGTGACCGTGACCACTAGGCTACGCAGTCGTTCTACCATCAAAATGCTCAAGTATCGTGATTTAACCGTGGTTTGAAGTTACGAGGTTTATATCATTAATAAACTGTTGTGAAGTTCCAATACCGCATCAATTGGAACAAAGTTAGAATACTAAACAAATGATAATATAGCTATTCGATCAATGAATATGCACTCAACTCAGTAGCGCACACAGGAATTTTTCAAGGGGGGTCTGGGGTTGAAAGTTCACCATTCTTGTATCATGTTCCTTTTGATTTTGTCGATTTTCGGGAACAAAACACAGTAAAAAACTAATTATTGAATAAATAATTAGCATTAATTAATAAAATTAATCATTAATAACAAATACTTAACTAAATTTTACGTACTATATACTTAGAATTATAATCAATGGAAAAAATCAAGGGCTTTGAGGGGTCGCCGTTCCCCTTGTGCGCGCCACTGACTCAACTTGATAATAAAAATAATTTTTGATAACTGTGGAATTTCTTCTTTATTGTACGGAATATTATCAAAAACACTAACAAACAATTGCTTTCATGCTTCTCAATGAATGAAAAAAAAAAGGTTTGAATTGTTAAAATCAAATATAAGATGCAGATTGGCGATAAGCAATTATTTCAACGACTTTGAAAGAACGTCCCTAACAATTTTAAGGGTTATTAATGAAAGTAATACCTTAAATGTTACTAAAAAAGTTTACCTGGATAAAATCGTTATCATACCGTTATCGGGTGAGTGAATATTAACGTCGAATTATTCAACTACTCTAGGGCATTTGGAGACGGACTTCGTGATTTGGAACCATGGTCAAGTGACGAGGATGACATCTGAACTGGCACCCCTCTTTCCTAACTTCCACACTACAACAGTGGGAAAACGTTTGAGCTTCGACAGATTTAACGTGTCCTAGAGGAAATGTTTTGTATTTCCATTCACAGAAAGTTTTTATAAGGGATTTTGTTGCGTCTTTTCCTACCTCTTATATAATCAAATTCCTCTTATCGTCTCATTTCCCACCCCCCTGTATAGTAAGAAAGAAAATTTGAAAGAAATTAAAACAAGTTTCTTCTTCACTTGAGTATTCCAAAATTCAATTTATGGAAAATTCTAGATTTAGATTCAGAAATTTCTGTCAAAAATATTTTCTTTTAAAATTCTTTACTAAGATGAACTTCATTTGAAATTTAAGTAGGAAACGAATTGAGTATTATTGTTTGTAAACAATATTGAATAAATAATGCAAAAAAAAAATTAATTTAATTCCTACTTAGGTCAACAAAGAAAATTTTTATTTCAGTTACTTTTTATTAAATAGTTACAATTAATATAAATATGTATATACTTATGACAGAATCGCACTATTAAGTGACAAAATAGAAAGCGATTTTCCTTGTAATTTTCTATTTTCCTTCCTATATAGGGTATTGGACTATTATTTTTGTTTGTTACTATTTATACATTAATTAAATTTAATTATTCTAATAAAATAGTATAGTAAAAAGAAATCACATTCTCAGAAATTAGGTCATCCCAGGTGGGATTCGAACCCCCACCCTTGCATTAGAAGTCCAACGTACTATTTGTTGTACTACAGGGACACAACAAGCTATTTTCCCTTTTATATATCGTGTTTGTTACTATTGTTTGCTACTATTGATTCATTTTTATTAATTAATGAATTAATATTTGAAAAAACTATATTAACATCAAGTGTCATACACTACAAGTTTAAAAAATTGTATTTGAACTTGAGTGGATGAATACAAAGCATTCTATTAACGATTGAAAATTTGAACAAGATTTATATATATATCAATCTTCTATGCGTGTGTATGTGACTAAACTCCTCCTAAACGGTTGGACCGATTTCGATGAAATTTTTTTGTGGGTTCAAGGGATTCGAGAATGGTTTAAAATTTGCAATTTGGTCAATATCGAAATAGTTAAAAAGATATTAATTATTAAAACATACAACTCAACATTCACTTGCATTGTTATAACAACGTTATTGTTATAAAAAAGACGTAAGTTGGCGTCGAAAATCAATATTTTCAACCAAACTGGCCAAATCGGGTCCTTATTCTTACAAAAATGCAGAGGAATCATGCTTTTTAGCATTTTTAATTAATATCTTTTCAAATAATCTTTATATATGTAATTCTTCTGTGCGTATGTATTTGACTGAACTAAACGGCTGGAAACCGATTTTAATTACGTTTTTTGTGTGGGTTCAAGTGGATTCAAGAATGGTTTAGATTCACAATTCGGTCCGATATAGCAATTAGTTAAAAAGATATTAATTAAAACCAGTTTTTGGCGCCAACTTTGATTTGTCTGCATTGTTGTAACATTGTTATTGTTACAACAATGATAAAAGTCGGCGTAGAAAATAAGTTTTCTGCCAAAATTAAATTTCATGACGTTGCTCTATTGACTGTATTAATTAACTTTATTTAAAAAATAAATGCTTTTAACATGTGGTTAACTTGACATATGTTTTAAAATCTCAATTTCTAAAATGTTTTAAATTTTTCTAATTGAAATTCTTAAAAAAAGATAAAACTATTTTTCAAGCAGATTGGTATAGTATATTTTTTTTAACCTTTTCCAACACTGCCAAGTTAATTTGAAACAAAATATTGTAAAACTTCAAAAAAAATTTGGAATTTTTAATTAAAAAAATTTGCTTTCTTTATACATAAAATATTTTCAAAGAAGATGTATTTTTTCCGTCTGGGGAGCCGTAAAAATACAACGAAAAAAATTATCGCCAAATGCCAGTAATAGTTAATTATGGGAAAGCTACCTCAGAACACACGAGTTTGAGCGCGTATATCGCATGTGCGGAAAAACAACTTACGGAGAGTACGCAAACAGATAAGAGATTTTTCTGTCAGATAAAGATGTTTTCTTTTTGAATGTTTTTTCTTTTATAATGATTGTAAATAATGAATTTTCCTGTAATTTTCCAAATCCAATTTATTAGTTTCAATTTTAAGAAAGTATTCAATGTTTCATGTATAAAATAATTAATACGATCTTAGTTTTTAATAATACATCGCAATTGATAGTTTTATTTAAGAAATAATTTACTAAAAAAACCTTAAAATATAGGAAAATGCTGCCTGTTTTTATTAAATAGTACTATTTCCTTTTAAATCTTTTTTTTCAAGCAATGTAAACAAATTTTTAAAATTTTCCCCCCAGTTCTTTTCAGTTACTATATTTAATCGAAAAATCAAACATCAGATAAAAGGCGTTTTTATAGCTAACGGTAGACATTTTTGATTCATTATTTAACGAAAAATTGATATGAATTAATATTTTTTTAAGAATTAAACTTATATTGAGTTTTATTATTTATTACTAAATTTTTTTTTTATAATAATAAATTCGTAAATTGTCTGTTTTCTTGAGAACAAACTGGTTAGCTTTGTAAATTTTAATCGAAAATAGAAATTTGAAAAAAAAAAAAAAGAGATCTTGTCCCTCGGTGAAAAAAGTAGGTTTTATACTTGAAAAAATCCATACAACTCTTGGCTGAACGGAAGGAAAAGAAATATGTCTGACAAAGAGAAGAAGTAGAAGAAATTTCTGAAAAGGGGATTTAAATGGCATAAATATGGAAATCACTCACATCACTCAGTAACACACACACACAGAGAGATACTGGTGTCCAGAGAGAAAGGGAAAATTTCCTTGGGGATAAAATTGTACCCAAGGAAAAAGCCCTTGCAACGCCGAGCTAAGTTGCGAGCAAACAGACCGGCCCAACAGGACAAAGATGTGGAAGAAACTTCGAAAAAGAGTATTTTAATGACATTAATATAGAAATTACAGAAGTACTGACACTGAAAGGGAAGGGGAATCTTCCAAGGCAGAAAGCTGTACACTTGAAGAAGAAGCCCGTGCAATGCCGGGCCATCCAGCTAGTATATATATATATATATATATAGGGAGAGTGTAGACTAATAGTGGGAATTGAAAAATTTTATGTGTGCTAAGACTTTTAGACTTCCTTACTTCTCCTTTCAATTTATATCTGCGGAGTAGATGAAATATTTTTACTAGTAAAAAGTCTGAGATTTGAGATTTTCTACAAATTTTTCATTCTAACATCATGGACTTTCAGAAAATCATAAATGAAATTTTCAGAAAATCATAAAAAAGGGAATTTTTAAAAATATTCGGCACAAATACGTTAATAAAAAATAATTCATGAAAAAAAAAAATAAATAAAAACTTAATGAAAGTATCTTACTTTTTTACAAAAGATATGTAAATAAATAAAAATCAGAGACTTTTTTTTATTATGAATAAAAAAAATTTTTTTTATGAATAAAAAAACAAATTCGAAGCCCGAGTTATAAAAATACTTTTCGAGAAACATTTAGGAGTTTTCGAACGAATTTGTTTTGATTTCTGTTCAAGAAAAATACAGAATTGTGTATACCATTTTGGTATTCTAGCAAAGCCTCAGATTTGCTAAGAACAATGGCGAAAAAAAAAATACGAATAAGAAAAATATTAACATTTTTTTTTGTTTGTTTGTTAGACGCTCAGATAGACAGTAAACATTAAATAAAAGATAACAAACACGTGAAAGAAAAACATTCACCTAGCTTCTAAATACAGAAACAAGATTTGTAACATTCCACAAAAGATCAGTTCGTTGTCCTTCTGTTCGGATAGACAAAATCAACTGATCGCTTTTATTCCAATGCCACGAGATGAAAGTAATTTGGAATTGGATTTAAGCTCACAGAATTTTGCCTTCGAAAATATAAAAATGTGCTTAAAAAAATATGCATTCAAATGTGTTCAAAAAAATATCGTAGAGCAAAACCGAACTTTTATTTTATGTTCACCGAGTTTAATGTAAAAAGTAAATACGAAAATACAAATATCCTTATAGAATAATTATTAAATAATGACTCAGTGAGGGTTTATTCAAGTCGCCCTTTAAAGTAACACGTTGGCTATTTCCGACGGACCCCTTAATTTTAAGCCTCAGTCAAGGGACGAGAAGGATGCTTAAGATGGTACCCACCCTTGGCACTGGAGGATCGAAATTTATAACCAGGAAATCGTTTAAGCCCAGCTTATCCCCAAACCGGGGCCGGGCCTTAGACTTGCCCCGCCCCAATGAAAACCGACACTGTTTTCAAAGCAAAGCAAAATATAACTGAAAATAGGTTTGAATTCTGCACGTTTTGTAAATAATTTTGTGGTAACCACAGAACCACTTAAAGCCCCAATAAAACTCAAGTAAATTATTTGTACATTGGCTTTTTATCTTTTGAAAGCAAACAAAAAAAAAAATTTCTTTTCCTTTTTAATGGAACTACGCATTGGTAATTACTATTATTGACCGAAGAACATTCCCCGGGAGCTAGTATTACTTTTTAGTGTTAGCACCCTATAAGTGAACACCAATTAAAATTTTGCGCCAAGTTTTCTCCAGAGGGGGGCACCTGAGGCACGATATTGGGGGGAAAAAAGGGGGAAAACGTTTTCATATTTTCTATCGGGTTTTTTTAATTTCAGTATTTTTTTCCTTTACTTTTTTTCTCTTTTTGTTTTATTAAAAATCTTTGCATTACGTAAAATTTATGAAGAGCATAACATGTTTCTCGTTCATAACGATTGTGTTAGATTTCTAATTTTTTCGAATTTCTTTTTGAAAAAAAAATTTTTTTTTATTTATTTAAAAAAATATCCCAAAGATTAAAATTTTTACTGGAAATCGCAACGATTTCTTATCAGAAAAGGTGCCATAACACTGGGAAATCCACTGGGAATTATTTTTTTTTTAATAATCATTTTTGTAAAAACTTTTTCTTAAAGGATTTTTACAAAAAATATGCTTAAATGAATCATTTTTACTATTTTTTTTTTTTTTTTGAAGATGTTAAAACAATTTTTTTCTTTTTACTAGGAATCAATTTTTTTTAAATAAAAAGATGCCATACTAAACTAATTTTTTACTTGGAATGATACACTTTTTTTATAGAAAACATGCCATAATGAATAATTCTTTGAGAGGAATCTCACGCTTTTTCTTTATAGAAAAATGCCAAAACAAATATATCTTTTACTGGAAATCAAACTTTTTTTAAATAACGTGCCATATATCGAATTAATTTTTTAATAGAATTAATTTTTTTTTATGGAAAAGATGATATAACGGATAAATTTTTCACTGAGTATCATAGTTTTTTTTTTTTATAAAAAAGATGCCATATTCAATTTTTTATAAAAAAGATTTTTCTAGGCATCAAGTTTTTTATACAGGAAAAGATACTATAGCGAATACTTTTTTTTTACTGGAAATCAAACATATTTTTAAAAAAACATGATAATTTTTAAATATAAGTAAATAAGTAAAGTTTTTAGTAAGTTAGTTTTAGTGAGTAAGTGTTAATTAAATGATTTTTTTACGGGGGAATCAAATTTTTAATAGAAAAGATACCATAATGATTAATTTATACTGGGAATCAAACTTTTTTATAGAAAAAATGCTCTATCGAACACATTCTTCACTTGCAGTCGTATCTTTTTTATATAGAAAAGATGGCATAAGGAATGATTTTCTTGT